GTATATGTTCATATACACATATATAGTGTGAAAATGCATGTCTGTGTACATATAACAGTGTACATATGTTCATATATAGTATATATAGTGTGGACATGTATGCATATGTAGTGTGTCTACACACATATACGTGGCCTGCTCATGTATACATTGCTGTGTGTGTACTAGAATGTAGTGCAAGTAGAGATTTAGAGGGTGCACTAGAAGATGGTAAGAAGGACAGTCATTATACACAACATAGATATTTTGTAATAAAATGAGAAGCACTTTGAGGCTTGAGGCTGAGAAGAAAGAGGTGGAGCCAACGAAGCAAGAAGAAACAGCTGGAGAATTAGGCGGGAAAACGGTTTAGAGAAACCTCACTAAAACCAAGCAAGGACCACGTTCTAAGAGGCTGGTTAGCAGAAACAAGTACCTAAAATAAAAAGCCAAGGAGATGGAAAGCTAAGGAGGGAAAACAGTCACTGGATCTGATCATTAGGAAAACAGCAGTGACCAGGCAGTGAAAGTCTCAGGAAGAGATGGGGTTGGGATGACTCACAGGTAAGGAAGTAGAACCAAACACAGACTTCTGTCTCTTTTCAATACTTTCGCCTTGAAAGGATGATGAAAGAAGCAGCTTCGATAAAAGCAGGATCAAAAACTCAGCTTTATTTGGTTCCCTGTAGACTAGAGAACTCAAACATGTCTGCGGACAGAAGGTTACAGTCCAGGCACAGTCTTGGTGCCCAAGTCATGAGGCATCATTCCCAGCAAACTCAAATACAGCCAAGACCCCCAACCCATCTGGCACTCACACACTGTAGCTCAAAATCTCTCACAACAACTCTGGGAGGTAGGTGTTACAATTATCTACATTTCACAGATGAGGAAGCCAAGGCACACAGAGGTTAAGTAACTTGTCCAGAGTCACTCAGCCAGTAAGCCTCAAGTCAAGGTTTCCCCCAGGCAATCCAACTGCAGCCTGTATGCTCTTAGTTGATATGCAATGGGGGATACAGAAAACAGAGCTCTTGATGTGCTTTATGATGTCCCAAGTCCTGCTGAGATTGGCCTAGCTTTCTCCTCTGACCAGCAGAGGGAGGCCATTTGTTGGTTGCAGGGTTTGCAGCTCCCTGGCAGTTGTGAAGATCATCATAAGTGTTGTCTGAAGGGAGGTATAGTGTACACTATGAGACCTAAGTTCAAGAACTGGCTCCGATTTGTAGTATTTTGTAACCTGAAGCAAGTCACTTAAATGGTGCAGGTACCAATTCTGCATCCATAACATGGAAAGATGATGAGAAAAACAAAATTTGTTTAAATAACAACTATTCTACATCCCTTAGACTGCTGTTGTAAGGAACAAGTGAAACAATTTGGGAAAGTACATGTAAATGTGCAGTATTTCTTTATTAGTAGTAGTAGTGTTAGCATTATTACTACCAGGCTCTCAAAACTGCCTGAAAAACTGTTCATCCTCTCCACTCTCCCATTTCCACCTCACAAAGTGTTAAAAACTGGTAAGATGTATGTATATGTATGACTGAAACATTATGCTGTACATGAGAAACTGACACATTGTAACTGACTATATTTCAATTTAAAAAATATATAACTCATACACCCAATTCTGAGAAAGTGTTTCTGACCCTGAGTAATTTCCATGTGTACAATTTGTCCTAAATGGGAAATTCCCTTATCTGGTGAGGCAATTTAAAAAATTCTCTGGGAGAAAGCTATGATAAACTGTCATTTATCAGATTTGCACATACAAATATCCATTCATCCTTCTCATCTTTCCTCAAGTCACCGTGTTGATCATGATAGTAACATACTGCCTCCAATGCAGCATTTCCCCCTTATAACTCACCACCTTCTTTTGTGATTTTCACTCTTATTCATCAGTATAATCTTTAAGTCCCAGCAAGGTCCTGCTGTGGACAAAGGAGGAGGTGACTTCAGCAGGAGCGAAGAGGTCACACACACTGGGACAGAATGTGAGAGAAGTAGCTGGGCAGCCAGGCACTGTGTTTTGCCAAAGATTTGGAGCATCTGAACATGCTTCTCAGGCAGTTCACTCGGTCATGAATACTGGGTTCTTTTTCACCTTTAAACAAGAGAGTTTGGTGCACATATATAATGAGCCTTGCATTCCATTCCATTTAGACTTTTCTGTCTAAATTGCCTTAATTTTTTAACTTTACCTCATTTATATAAACTATGTTTCAAAGATAAAATTAGAACAATCAGGCAGCAGCTGAATGGGCTACATGATGGGCGACAGGTGTGTGGTTAGTTAGTTACAGGCATATTTACTATTACAGCTACTCTGCAAGAACATCGGGAGACAGTCAGTCTCCTTTTACAGATGAGGAACTAGGGATACAGGGCCAAATTTTACTTTTTCTTTCTTAAAAAGCAGTATGTAGTTTGCATATATGTCTCCATTAAGAAAAGTGAACAAAAATCTCAATGCGATGGTCATTTGTGTTAGTTGGATTCTAGTAGAAAAGTGGGGGGGTGCTCACTCATAATCCCTTCGTATTTATTAGCCCCTTTAATGCACACAGTTGATTTACCAGTTTTGCAAAGCAAGGCACGTCACTAATTCTATTCATCCCTCAACACCGCCCTCCTCTCAAACAATGAAATGATGACCCAGTGTTAATCTCTCTGTAGAACTTCACAGACGAAGTCTATTAGTTGCCTGTTATGCAGAAATCAGCCAAAACACATTCAGGACAATAGTGTTTTTTCCTCTGTGAAATTTCAACACCCAGACCAAAACATATTCCTTCGCCTGCCTCCTTCAACCCCCCCCCTCCAACAAAGCCCACCACCACGGGATTCCTCTCTTTCCACGCATGGTTGGGATGATGGGGGCTCAGAAGAACACCTGCCATCCCAGCTCCCTCTTATCATTTCAGATCTTATCAGTCAAAATGACAGTGAAAATGCCAGAAGCTAGAACTTGTTTGGTTTACATTTTAAGCACAAATAACATTTCTTTCGATATAAATATGCAGTTCTATGAAAACATAGGGAGAAAGTACAATAATCTTGGTCACTGTCCAGCAGGAACATGTTTCATTGCTTACAGAGTCACAGATCAGATTCTCCACAAAAAATAATGGTCTTTCAGCCTAGTTCTAGGATACTTTCAAACATAGTAAATTCCCTGTTCTACAAACAAATCTTTTTTGAGATTTTTAAAATATGCCAGTGATTTTGGATACTTTATACCCAGAAATCAAGGCTACTGAAGTGAGCGAGAATTCTCCATTAAGAACAAAGTCGTTGATATACAAACATTATATAAATTATTTTATTAGACTGTGTAAAAATACAGCAGATTTTACCTATAAGTTTCCATCAGATAATAAGTTACTGACGAAACAAAGTCAAGTGTGTCTCTCTTGATTCAAGTGTGAAATGCACAAGGTCTGAGATGCACCCACTGCTCACTGTCGCCACATACTCTGTGGGGAGGAGTGCACATTACTTGGCATGAGCAGACTGCAGCGTTCCCAGGATTCTGTCCCAGTGTGTGAAGTAAGGGGCGAAGTTGCAGTTAAACTGAGAGTGATGCAGGTCGTGGTGCGCCACACCCCCATACCACCCGAAAGGTACCAGTCTGTGCGTGGACCAGGGGAAGTCGTAGCCGGAGTGGTCCTCCACTGACAGCCAGATGTTGACCACGTGGAAGATGAGGACAGTCAGCGGGTGGCACCGGAGCAGCAAGACATTCACCATGTCAAAGAAACCCAAGGAAAACAGCTCCCAGACACTCACGTACTGCGTGGCCAGTGCGAATGAAGATGAGTTCTGGTGGTGCATCTTGTGGAAGGACCGGTACAGCCAGGGCACTTTGTGGTGCAGCACATGCCACACGAAGAACTCAGCATCGAAGAGGAGCAGGCAGAACACGACGTGGCGCGCCAGCTGCAGCAGCTCGGGGGCTTCGGGGGGCAGCGGGGCCCGGCTGGCCACCCAGTGCAGCAGCGTCATGGGGAAAATGAACACCACGTGGTGGTAGAGTGTCAGCCCCAGGCAGGGCAGCAGCTGCCTCACTGACGGCGAGAAGTCCGGGTGGATCTTGTAGCGCCGCAGCGCCGGCACCCAGGGGCAGATGATGTCCAGCACCACGAAGGGGAGGCAGAAGCCCACGTAAGTGGTGATGGAGAAGACGACGGGGAAGAAAGGCGACTGGATGAGGGGTTCCCAGGTCCTCAGGCGGTCCCAGAGGGGCTGCAGGAACAGATGGCCAGAGCTACACAGGATGTGGAGCTCGGAGCCGTTGTGGCGGCTCATGGTGAGGTTGTGCATGGCAGCGGCGGCGGCTCCAGCGCCACTGACTTTTCTTAGAGCTTTCGGCCCCGCCCAGAGTGATGTCAGCAGCCTTTTCTTTCCCTTTCCCGGCTTCGCGGAGCTTGCATAAATAACCCCAAGGAATAGCGCCTAGTTGCTATAAATACCCATCTTTATAGTTGCATTTAATCCGCATTTATGTATGCTGTTACGCAATCGCACGTAGTGACTTCTATGCTCGCAGGATTATGTTCTGATTTGTTAATTGACGTTCAATTTACACACGATACAATGCACAGATCTTTAGTGTAGAGTTTCTACGAGTATTGACAACTCAATTCATGGGTCCCTACCACCCCCAAACAAGACAGAGAATACTTCCATCACCACCAGAAAGAGCTCCTTTACAATCAGTGCAGAATTTCTTGTATTTTTTAATGAATGCATAAAATTTCGTCTATGTATTTTCAGAAAGACGCAAGTGTAACTGTATTTTTAAAACTTTTAAAAGCGACGTACTTTTTCTGTCTGCTCACATTCTATTGGTCTAACCAGGAGCGATTGGCAAACTAATCTTTTGCAGAGGGAACCGAGGGTCCCCGGCGCTGCGCGGCGCCGCGCGGCGGCAATCAGCGCAAGAAATCAGACGGGAAGGGTGGCCGGACAGGAACTTCCTCCAGTTCCAGTGTCTCCCGTGGGCGCTGTCCCCGCCAGCTCGCGGAAAGCTCCAGATCCCACCGCACCCATACTCTCCCGGAGGAGCCCCAAAAACCTGACACGCGGGTCGCTTCTTCGCGGCGCACCCGGGATGCCCAGACCGCCGACAAAAACCGGGAGGCGTCGGGACAAGAAAGAGGGACCACGACTGCTAGGCTTCACTTTACAGGGGAAAAAAAAAAGGTCAAGTGAAGGATTTAACATCCAGAGCCTGCCCAGATCTGGCTGAAAAGCCGCCGCATCTCAATTAGGGTGGAAGCAGTGAAATTAGTAAACTATCCACTTTGTTCGTCAAGGGATCAGCGCATTCCTGAAGCCTCACAGGAGGCCATTGATTGAACAGATGATGTCCCGCCCACCCTGCCCTTCCCTCCGCTGGCTTCGCGGCCCCAATGTCCCACGTCCTCGACCCATTTTCTCCCAAACCATGACGGACTCAGAAAGCACAACTGCGAGGCCGCCCCCACCTCTGTGTTTCTGTCACCAACTGGGGCTGACCGCTGACCGGCGGGGACTGAACGTAAGGAAGTCAGTACTAGATCTCGGGGACCCCGGGACTAGCATGAAAAGCAACCTCTGCGGTTGACCCGGGGGCCTGACTTGCGACCCAAGGGGCACCTAGAGGGTAGAAGTTTTGGACGGAAACTTTGAAGCCAGGAAACACCCCTAATCCTAGCTTCGTCTCTCCTTGTGTCTGTGAGATTGGGGCCAGCGCCTCATCCTTCAAAGCTTTGCATTTTCTTATCTTCCCTTTCCAAAGAGAAATAACAGTAGTAGCCATCTCATGAAGCTACTGCAAGAATTAAATGAGAAAACAGTAGTAGTAGTAGTGATAATAATAATAACAATAATAAGGCTACCATGTAACATCCACTAGGCATTAATGAGGTGTTTTACTTGAAGTGATTTCATCCAGTCCTTACAAGAGCTGGATTTGCAGCACTACCAAGAAGTAGACATTATTAGTATTGCTGTAGTCCTACAGAAATAAAAGTAAAGTGCCTGGAACACAGTAAACATACAAAATAAGACGTATTATTTTAAATGTGTACTCCACACTTCACCTAAAGAATAACTGAGGAAGTTTGAAATTAAAATCAAATAAAGTTACGTAAAGGGAAATAAAAGACACAAAGCCATACGCTATGAGGACATAAGTACAAAATATAGACCAATATATAAGCCTAGAAATATATAATAGGCTAATTTATAATATATAATTATGTATTAATATAGAACATATATGTGAGAGAGATGAGATGTTGTGTGTGTGTGTGTGTGTGTGTACACACATACCACCCCTGTAACAGGTCAGCTCATAATTCAGAACGTCTTTAAACTGCCACCAGTAGAACACAGATATTCCTTAGGTGCCTGTTCTGTGGAGCACCCAGCCTCCAGCCCCAGCACAGCCTTTTATTTTTTTAACTTCAGTCTGCTGTAAGAATATTATGATACTCTGCTTGTGTCTTGATGAGATAAAGGTTCAGAAGCATCTCTGAGCTTCTTGAGAGCCAAAGCTAAAAATGAAAGAGGATGAATTTTCTAATGTTGCTTGGACATCTGAATGGTAGCAAAGACAGGTACCACGAAGGCCCCTGGCCTCTAGCCTGGGGGGTCGGTTTCTTCCAGTTACTTTCCAGGTATACTCATCCTTTCTAGGCTGCTCCTCAAGCTTCCCCTTCCTCCAATGCACTTTGTAATTCACTTTTAGGGCAACTCTGGCACTTTCTTTCCCATTCCTGGTAGACATCGCTCTACCTTTAAATTTTGCTGAACTCAAGCAGCATCTCAGAAAGAAGAGGAGAGCTTTTTCTCCTTTACTTTTCTGATTTAAAAAAAAATGGGGGGGGAACTACACCACACCATTGAATGTATCTTATGCCATTTACTAAGCCTTAACTCTTGGGTCCCTCCGTGCTCCAGAGGGACCATCAAAGCTCACTTTCTCAGACATACCAATTCTTCTCAGGAGTAAAATATCACTCAGATTTGCCCTCAACAGAAATTCAATCAACCTTCAAATTTCTGTTCAGCACATCCCGTTCTTTTCTTGTGGTTTCAACTCGCATGCTTGGATGCTTTGGATGCCCTCACAGATTTTTTAAGTGGGTGGCTTCATTTGCTTAATTTGGGCTTAGCAAATAGACTGCTATCAGGACTGCCTCCTTTGAGCCCCCAGCCCCAACCAATCTGTTATTTTTTTAATTTGATTCTTCCAGCCTCCATCACTAAGTGTGTTAGAATATTCTCCACACAGCCCTGTGCAGCAAGACCCTGGAAGCCACAGCTTCAGGCTGCTTGGCCCAGGCTCGCCCCTCTTACTTGCAGCACTTTGGAGAATAGCCACCAGCTTCTCTCCCTTTCCAGCCAATGAAGCCACCCAGGACAGAACTTTGTGTCTAACACACAAGTGCAGTCATCTCAGGGAAAAGCAGTCAGTTAAAATCTCAAAAGTTGTCCACTCTATGTCATGGAGGATGCTGAAAAAGTGGGCACAACATGACGGTCGACCAAAACCAGCGTCACTTAACAGACCCAAATAAGGTTGAACCCTATTTAGTCTTCACTAAAGTGGTATCATTTCCTGAACTGGCAAACATGCACCTCTGAAAAACTTTCAATCTGCACAAAATGTGTTTAATGACTTACTAGATGAATAGGTCTTTTCAGGGCAGAGAGTCTATCTTCCAGGATTTTCCCCCACAATATCAAGCATTATACTTCGCACATAGTATTCAAAAGTATTACTGACTTCTGATGGTATTAGGATTTTTGTCCACACTATTTCTTGTGCTTCTCCAGTTGATTCTGACCTCCTGTGTGTCATTTTTATCTTGAGGGGGTCTTTCTGACAGGACTGGAGGATAGGAGTTCTTCTTCCCTCACTATCTTAGAGATCAAATCACTTTCCTGAGAGTACAACATTCAGGTCTGTGCATATTTAACACAATCTTGAAGCTTTTTGGTACCAACTCACCAAAAGATTTTGGATGATGCCCCCCCTCCACCATCGCCTGCAAAAAAACAGAATATGTAGTCGGCAAAGCCCATTACCAATGATATAATCTCTTTTTCTGTGTGAACTTTATGATTTTTTTTCTTTCCAAAATTAGGTGTGGCTGTCTTGGCATCTATAACCAAAACGATTATTCCTGGGTATCAGAGATGAGAAGTGTTGCAATATCTTAACAGCTATGACACGTATAAAGCATAGAGGGTGGAGTAATCTCAAAGATCAGTATCTAATCCCTCAATGTAAAGATGAAGACTCAGTCTTAGAAAAGTCAAGACTAGCTAGGGTTCAACAGGAAGTTACAGCCAAACTGAGAGCAGAACCTGGTCTGTGTCAGTTTCAAGGTGGGTACCTCCACCGGAGGAGCTTGGTGTTGGAGTGGGGCATCGAAGTTGCATTTATAGGGTAGTTTACAGAAGACTCAGAAAGCATTAATTACCACACCAAAACAGCAGGGGATACTGATGAAGAATATGGGTGGGTGTTGGCTTCCCCTAGGATTCCTTGATGCCCTATTTGACACAGATGCTGATACACATTTGGTTTTAAACATTTTCTCTTTATGGTTTGATCCGTCCATGTCACATGTAAGGGGGTGCTGCTACTGATATTGTTGGAACTCTCATCAACCTGCTGAAGACAGTTAAAACATATAAAATCATGCTCATTTAAAGGCATACCATTGCCTAGAAAGCACAGAAAATACTTGCCTCATCTGTCAAAGAGGTGTTACAGAGACCAAAGCCTTATGAGAAGTCTTTAAACACCCAGAAAGCACGGTGTAAAAATGCAAAGAACGTGTTTCAGCACCACTGAAACAAGTTGACAGAGAAAGAACTTTACTTGCTGAGCTTGGAACTGAATTTGAAGTCCGCACCTAGCACAGCACAATCAGTACTTGGTCAATACTCTTGAATGAATTACTGACAGACTTTTTAAAAATCAGAATTATTGTAAACTGATGCTGCCTTTTGGGGGGGGTCACTTTTTTTTTAAATCTCTCCATATATTAAAAAAAATTAATGACAAGAGTTAAAATTACAGAATACTTTAAATGTTTACATTTAAAGAATTAACACTTTTAGTACCCACAAACACAAAATGATCATTGTATGGAGATTATATCAGTAGCTAAACTTTGGTCCTTAATAGGTATGAAGCCTC